GTTGCCCACCATCTGTGTTGCCCCTCATGTTGACACACAGTAAAGACAGAAACTCCAGGACGAGGTTTTCAAGGACTCACGTGTTTCCCTTGGACAACGTGTCTAAGATTTGGGGCACGGCCCAGCCGCAGGCGGCCGACTCGGTCATCGCTGCCTTTGGCCTGAATGTGAGGCGGCTGGACCTGACGCCGTCTTCCACCGAGTCCTGTGAATGAAGGGGGAGTCACCGGGGGGGTAGGAGGGGTGAAGTTGCCAATAGCGGGCGCTGTTGGCAAACAGAGTTGATTATGAATGAGACCGAAGTGAACCATGCCTGAGGATTATGGAGCACACACACACACACACAGACACACACACACACACAGACACAGACACATGTGAACTCACGGCGACGCACACGTGGAAGTCATGTGTGAAGTGAAGACAGTGGAATCCCCTGGGATTCTGTTCTTCCAAGATGATTTACTGCCCCTGTCAGAAACAATGAAACAGAAGTGGGTCGGCCAAGTGAACCGCACCGACGACGCCACCTTTATTATGACTTCAAATGTTGTATGAAGGGGCCGCGGGCCGCGTCTGAACCACCGTCAATGAATTATACTTTAATGTAAAGACCTGCAGCAGAGCAATAATCCACAATAATCCAGAATAATCCCTGCTCTGACATCATGATGAGCTGATGTAAAGGAGGTGAAAGTATAGGCCTGGTAATGAGCACGTTCACTGAACTTGGATGAACTGCAGTACTGCTGTGTACTCCGCACATATTATATAACCACTCTGTCAATTCTCTCTCCGTTTTCCAAAACACACTCTGTTATGATGCCAGGCTGTTTTTCTAGCCGCGCTGCGTGAGAGCAGCGTGAGAGCAGCGTGAGAGCAGCGCTCCTGTGTTGTTGTTGTACTCAGAGCTGAGGTGTGGTTACGTAACAGAGCTGCTCCCCGAGAGAGGAGCCAGCAGCACACGTCAGGTGCCAGAGAGGAATTTGGGGGGTGGGGAGGGGGAGGAGAGTGGTCCAGAGAGATGAGTGTCTCTCTCTCTCTCTCTCTCTCTCTCTCTCTCTCCTCTCCATCTGTATCTGTGTGTGTGGTTTTGTTGTTGACCGGCCTGCTAATCATTTGATTACAACCAGATTAAAACCTAAACCTCATGCAAATATATAATCAGATTAACCAGGTGTTTTTTATTCACAGGGAAGAGAGTCGTTTTACAACAATCATTTTTTTAAATTTTTTGGATGCTGGATGGACTGCTTATAAAAAAACATACAGATTCTGACCTGGACCACGGTTGATGTCACAGTCCGTGTCCTCACCCTGGGTGACAACAGTAGGTGAATCAACACCACCTCAGACTCGGTCTGGTCGTTTAAGTCACCGAATGCAGACTGCTTATAAAAATGTTAACAAAGATACAGATTCTGACCTGGACCACGGTTGATGTCACGGTCCGTGTCCTCACCCTGGGTGACAACAGTAGGTGAGTCAGTTTAAACTGGTGAGTTGATGAATCAACAATTGATGGATGGAGGCGCAGGAAGTTAGTTCAGATTGTTGTCACTGAACATAGAACTCGGTTTGATAAACAAGTGCATGGTGTGTATACTGTATAAGGTCGGTTGCTATTAACTGTGTGGGTTGTATTGTGGGGTGGGGGAGGGTCCGATCTACCAGACTGGTGAAGCCCCACACTGCTGTGTTCATTCTAACACTACTACAACTGCACTCGTTGACCCACATCATTCAAAGACAGAAAAACAAAGGGGGAGGGGGGGAGTGTAGTAGAAGGAAATGCAGATCGACCTGATTACCTCAGTCAGGGGGAACTGTGCGTGACTACTGTGTTGGTGCTTAGGCAATAGATGAACAGAGTTTCACCATCGTTTGAAAAGTGAAGAAAGGATTAACATGGTTTAAGACGTAAACTCAAAGTCTTAACCCTGACCTCTTGAGTGGAGAAGGACGAGTCTGTTAAAAATGTGAGCTATCATGAGTCTGGGTTAGTCTGAGGCAGACATGTCCAAAGTCTGGCTCTGGGGCAACTGTTCTACTTGCACAGGTTGTTTTTATGCCTTGCAAGATAAATTCACCCGTTTTCATCAGGGTTTTGTTGGTCTCGTAAGTATTTTTAGTGCAGTTTGTTGTTTTAATTTAGTTTTAATACGTTTTAATATTATTTAAATTCATATATTGTATTTTCTGAAGCACTCAAATTTAAGAAAAGCATTGAAATTTTAATATTATTTAAATTCATATATTGTATTATCTGAAGCACTCAGATTTAAGAAAAGCGTTGAAAAAAGTTTCATGAACACGAATAAATAAACAATAATATATAAAGTAAACAAAATTTTCAATCCGGATCGAAAAAAACCCTAACGTCTCATGGGCTCATTCCCACTCCTAAACAGAAGGTGGCGGTAGCGGGTAGAACTGTCAAAATAAATATTTTGTTTCCGGTTCCGGGTACAGGATCTGAGACGTTGTGTGAACGGCGCTAGTGTATTGAAAGTTAACACAACACTGCGTAGCGTCACAGTTTTACGCTTCATCTTCAAAAGAAAATTTATATATTTTTACACGTTTATAGTGCATACGATTTGTCCCAGGATTGAATAATCGTGAGGTTTGTACTCATCTTTAAGCGCTCTTTGGCTAATAGCGGGCAGGCAGCAGCGTGCTAAAGCTAGTCAGCAGGCTGCCGCAGAATACTGGCGGATGTATGTAACTAACTGTGGACTGTGTTTGGCAAATTTGTCATCCGCTCTATTGTTATGGTTTAAAGTTCGTTTTTAAGAACCTGTGTTTACGTTTTTAAGTTACTATATTTTCAGTGTAATAACGTACCCACGCTCAGTCCTAGATATTTACAAGTTCTATAAGACCGTGATGTGGTAGTCATGTTATTAAAAGTGAACGTAAACATGTTGGGTTGTCCTGCAGAACCAAGGATGTCTCTCCCTAAGCGAGAGGTGGAGGAGTTGAGACCATGGGTGGAACGCACTGTGAAGAAGGTGCTCGGTTTTTCTGAGCCCACTGTTGTTACTGCAGCTTTACACTGTGTTGGAAAAGGACTGGATAAAAGAAAGACAACAGGTAACCACTCAGACTGGTCAGCTTCTGTCTGTATGTTTACTGAGTGCAGCTTCAGTAACTATTAAAGCTGAGAATCAGAATTAGAACCCTGTGTCCAGATTTTTAAATTCATTAAAGCTGAGAATCAGAATTAGAACCTAACACCTGTGTCCAGATTTTTAAATTAGTTTTTTCTGTATTTTTTCTCTGCACTGTCTCTTGTTGCACTCATTGCTTTATATAATAAAGAAAAACAGATTTTATCAGCTTAGGAAACTCTGCAGCATAGACTTTATTATAAGGCAATTAAAGCTCCTGCATGTCAACAATATGACTTGGAGCGCCACATTTGGCCAGCGAGCCTTGAGTTTGACACATGTGCTTTATACCTTCATATGACAGTCAGAGGTGCTCAGCTGTTTTAAGTTTGTTTACAATCCCATCCAACCCTTAATCTGAATTTGACAATTGTTCCCCTTCAGATCAGTTGCGTCCTTTCCTGGATGACTCTGCTGGAGGTTTTGTCGAGCGCCTTTTTGAGGCGTTGGAGGAGAGCCGCAGTTCCCGTGGCAAAGGAGACAAAAGCCGCAAGAGAGACATTAAGGTACCCATACAGAATTTTGATACTCCAAACTGTCTCTGCAAAAGTATGTAAATTAAATTAATTTCATTGTTTTGTCTGATCCCAGGATGTTTTTGCTGAAGAAAGTGAGACCGGTGCAGTGCATGAAAATTCGGATGCAGGAGATGGAACGGCACCAAAACGCAAGAGGGCCCATCGTTTTGAGGAGGTGGTGGAGCCTGAGGTCATACCTGGACCTCCATCTGAGAGCCCCGGCATGCTAACCAAAATGCAGGTGTGAATCTGACGGAATAGTTTGGTTTCTTTTAATAATAAACATTTCACGGTTACTAAGATTCTGTCCTGTCCCACAGATCAAACAAATGATGGAGGCTGCTACGAAGCAGATCGAAGAGAGAAAGAAACAACTCAGTTTCACTCCTTCGGTTCCTTCCTCAGTAAGAAAATAAACAACTGAATTATTTTGTATTGAAAAAAAATTAAGTTAATGTTACAGTTTCAGGCCGATACGTAAAGTAATTAAATCTGTTTTTTGCTTCTTGAATTCAGCGGTTACCACTCCCTACAGTGCAGTCACAGCTGGATCAAATGTCTCGGCTTCTTGGTGCCTCCGCTGGTGGAGGCGTTGGCTCCACCTTGGCCCCCTCCCAGGCTGCCAGCTTCATGAACGACGCCATCGAGAAGGCCCGTAAGGCTGCTGAGCTACAAGCCCGCATCCAGGCCCAACTGGCCATGAAACCAGGGATCCTTGGAGCCATAGGGAACACTGGACCTCACAACGTTGTAGCATTAGCAAATTTACACGCCATGGGAATCGCTCCACCGTAAGTAAAGAAAAGGGTTTTTATGTCTAGGGGAAAAGTTTGTATTTGTTGCGCTTAATATTATTTTCCTGTTTGTCGCATATAGAAAAGTGGAGGTCAAGGAGGTCAACAAGCCCACTCCTCTGATTCTGGATGAGAAAGGAAGAACAGTGGACGCTTCAGGCAAAGAGGTCGAACTCACACATCGCATGCCCACGCTCAAAGGTACAGTATGTCCAGATTAGTCGTAAAGACACACGGGGTTCTTCTTCTGTTCACTTACTAACATACTTCTCAATGTGTAGCTAACATTCGGGCGGTAAAGAGAGAACAGTTTCGACAGCAGCTGAAAGAGAAGCCCGGGGAGGAGTTGGAGTCCACGTCCTACTTTGACCAGCGTGTGCTCGTACCACCGTCACAACGCCCTCGCAAGACCTTTAAATTCCATGACCAGGGACGGTTTGAGAAGATTGCTCAGAGAATAAGAACTAAGGTGGGTGTTTGTCATGGTATTGTGACTTACTGTTTGATTTTTACTATTAGGATCATTTCCAGGTCAGGTTAACGAACCCTAAACACTGTATCTTCATCTGTTCAGGCCCAGTTAGAGATGTTGCAGAATGAGATCGCACAGGCAGCAAAGAAGACGGGAATCCAGGCGTCCACCAAGTTAGCGCTGATTGCCCCTAGGAAGGAGATCGGGGAAGGGGAGGTGCCCCACATTGAGTGGTGGGACTCTTACATCCTGCCATCAAACATTGACATGTAAGCTATTAACTATAACAACTGTCACCTGTCCTTTCATGGTGTCTGTGAACCTGTGCAGCATTCAAGAACAATCATACGACGTCCTGTCATTCTCACTGTAGAAACTACCACTAACTTCTTACTGTGATCTATGGTCGTCCATACAACAATAACTTTACTAAATTGGAGTTAACTGCTGACTCTCTTTATTTTTACATAGAAATGCAGACACAAAATTTGAAGAGTTGGAATTGTTCGGTGTGACCAACCTGGTGGAACATCCTGCTCAAATCAACCCTCCTGGTACGTAGTTTTAAGGCATCACATTCGTCACATGAGTTTATCAGAATTGAACATGTTCTGCTACAGTTGGCTGTTGGACTGATGCAGTGTGTCGTGTGTGCGGTTCTCAGTTGACACAGATAAGCCAGTCACGCTGGGTGTGTACCTGACAAAGAAGGAACAGAAGAAACTGAGAAGGCAGACTCGGAGGGAGGGCCAAAAAGAACTACAGGAGAAGGTCCGCCTCGGACTGATGCCCCCACCAGAACCCAAAGGTACTGGTCTTTTAGAACCAAGAGCTTTATGATAAATTAATTACAAAGCAGCTCATTAACATGTCATGTCTGTACATCTCAGTACGCATCTCCAACTTGATGAGAGTGTTGGGTACGGAAGCAGTCCAGGATCCAACAAAAGTGGAAGCCCACGTCAAAGCACAGATGGCCAAGAGACAGAAGTCAGTAACGAAGCAAACCTCCTCACTTCTGAATGATAACTGATTGATTTTTAATATTTGCGCAGCAGAAGTCAACACTCCAGTGAGTTTGTAACATTTGCTTTCTCCCTGCAGAGCACACGAAGAAGCAAACGCTGCTCGAAAACTCACAGCAGAGCAGAGGAAAGAGAAGAAGGTGAAGAAATTAAAAGAAGACATCAGTGATGGGGTTCACATTGCCGTCTACAGGTTGGTGTTGTTAAGAGAAGAGGACGCCTCTGCAAAGTGTGTGACGTGTGTATCGTTCTACCAAAACACCTTTTATTTGTGGTTTAGAATCCGGAATCTGCAAAATCCTGCTAAGAAGTTTAAAGTGGAGGCCAACGCCAGCCAGCTGTACCTGACAGGCACCGTAGTTTTGCACAGAGACGTCAACCTAGTAGTCGTCGAGGGAGGTGAGAGAAATGTGGGCTGTATTATGGTGCAGTAAAACACGACAACTGAAAAGATTCCACCTAAGAATGTCATGGTAAAGGAAAAGTGAAGCTCCACTTGGATGTACTGTGTCTGACTCAGCTGCACTTTGTTCCAGGTCCCAAATCCCAGAAAAAGTTTAAGAGATTGATGATGCACAGGATCAAATGGGTGGAACACAGCAGTAAAAGAGATGGTAAGGAAATTTAATTTAATTTAATTTTTTTTTTTTTTACATTTTGAGTAAATATTAAGGTCTTTTTTTCTTCTTCTCTAGATACAGATGCTGACAATGATACAAAGAGAAACAACAAGTGTTGGTTGATTTGGGAGGTGGGTGATTCTCTTTGTTTTTGTTTTAATAATTATTAATAATACTATTTGAGATAGTAATTATGTATTTCTTTTTAGGGTACGGCCAAAGAGCGAAGTTTCGGAGACATGAAGTTCAAGCAGTGTCCCACGGAGAGCATGGCCAGAGACCACTTTAAGAAACACGGCACAGAGCACTACTGGGACCTGGCTCTCAGCCACAGTGTGTTGGAAACTGCAGACGACTGAAACCCGCAGCACACTTTATTTTCTATAATCATCATGCCTTCAGACCAATAACCTCAGAAGCAGACGAGCATCATTGCTGACAAGCTGCATTCAAGCCACCCAAGAGTATAAACCCAAATTCAGAGACACGAGCATATGTACAGTACAGGAAGGGTGGACAGTAAAAGTGTGTATTTCTGAGTGTCACGACGGTGTGTGTGTGCTTGCTCTGTTTTCTGACCCGTTCACTGTACACTCCTACTTAAGATATTATCTATAATAGATAATAGTATGTTAATCACCTGACTTTACAATGAGAGGGGAACCGCCGTCAGAATACATCAGACATGAACCCCTGTGATGAAATCCCTTGAGTACACACAGCGGTCAAAAACATCCCTGTAAGGAGTGCAATGCTAAAGCTAATATGCCGCGGGTACAGCAAAAGCAAGCAAAACGGAACAATAGCTCAGCAAAAGCAAGCAAAACGGAACAATAACTGTATTTTCTTTTTTTTTACTGCCACACTTGGCAGAAAATAGGACTTTTCTTTTTCATTCTGTAAAGCATATCTTGGACACTCTTGTAATTATAATTCTCTGTAGTACATAGGTCATAAATAAAATCAGAAACTTAAAACTTGTTTTTTTTTTGTCTTTAATTTTTTTATTTTATTATTTATAATTTTCTTGGCGTTGTATTTTGACATTTATACAGTTTCGCTCACGTTTGTTTGTGTTGCTCGTCTGTCATCGGTCGATCGTGGGGGCGTGTTTTCTCATGACTTACTACATTACTAGCGTTACTTCAGTCCGTCTGTCGTTGGCAGCGGCGGGTGATCAGCACACAGAGCTGTAAAGATGGCGGCCGGTTCAGGGGCTGCAAGCGGCCACGGAGCTCGTAGCTCCAATGCTGCTATGGAAGCGACTTTAGACCGGAAATTTCAGGGTGTCTCGAACACTATGGAGGCGATACAGGGACTTTCGAATTGGTGCATTGAAAACAAGAAGAACCACAGCCTCATCGTCCGCAGCTGGATGAAGTGGCTTAAGAAATGTGAGTAGCTCCGCCGCCAAAGCTAGCATGCTAACTAGCTCACTGAACCCGATTCGAAGTTATATTGAGAGCACAAACGGCCGTTGCTTTGGAATGGAGTGCAATGGAAGCGTAAACCCGATGACACGATTTTAACGTATTACAAATTGAACTTCACATTTGGGCTAACTGCACGAACGAAAGCAACACTTGCGCCATCAACGCTTAGTAGCCCCGCACACACACGCCAAGGCTAAGGTCCTCCGTTGAATGTTGTTTAAAGCTGGGCCTTAACGGGCTTATGTCGTAGTGGAAACGTATTTCTGCTTTTAAATTATTATTATTATAATACAGTGTTGTACTGAACTGTATTTAGTCACGTGTATATCAAAGTGAATGGCTGTTTTGTCTTTTGGCATAGTGTTTATCCTGGTTAGTGCTTTTGCAGTTTGACCTGTGCTTAAGTTGTGGTGTTCAGCGGCATTTTTGACCCTGTTTTGTTGTGGTATGTGAGTCATGATAAATGTAAAATATTTAAAATCAGTCTATTTGTTAAGTATGTTTTGTGCTTATAGGTTTGCATTACTGTTGATGGACAAACTACACTTAATTAAACCGCGCCTTTTGAATTTTGTCAAAAGTAAGAATTAAAATACGAAGTAATTTTTGGGTTAAATAACAATAGGTCAAAGTTTGATATATTTGTTCTATGTAAATTATTTTATTACTAGGACCTGGTTGGTCTCGGTGGACATGTTGGTTTGGAAACGTCTAATAAAGACGTCATTTTGAGGTTTGGTTGCGAGTTTTTGTCTGTTTAGATGGCGTTCAAAGATAAATTATTTACACATTCATTTTATATTCAGATACCATTCTGAAGATTTTAGGAAATCCTTGTAACTCAAACTAAATCAAAAAAAATATCATTTAATTAAACATTTTTTGTTCAAATAGCAATTGTATCTCCTTTGCTGTTAAGGGGGAGGCCAAGAAATGGCATTATAAAAAAGAATCTTGATACAAAATGTAATGTTGGCATTTAATGTTGAAATTCCAATTATATATAATTTGTTTTAATTGATTTATTTCAACAGCTTAAAAGTAGTTAAAAAGCTGTTGACACCCTGTCATTTACATTTTTGAGTTTTTCCTCTTTATTTTTAAACAACAAAATACTAATGTTAGGGTTAATTATTAATTAATATTAGGGTTAATTAAAAAGGTTAAACCTGTGAGTGACAGGTGATTCTTGAAACCCTCTTTCCAACGATGTGATACTTGAAACCCTCACAAAAACACAGAACTGTGAAGGCAGCTGGAAAACCACAAACCTTTTTATATATATATATATTTAGTCTTGTCTTTATGTCTCTGTTCTGTGTTTATTTTGTTTGGTCTGTTAAATCTCTTCAGCATCAAGCTACTGTTTCTGTGACCTGTCATTTGAACTTTATGTTTGCAGCACACACTGTCCCTGTATTTTTGGTCAAACTATATCCACGCCATTTCACGGTGTTGTTAAATGACTCAATTTAGATGTAGCGGCAGTGTGATTTTTGAATTTTGTCTAATTTGAGTTGATTTTTCTGAAAATTTCTGTTTCATCCTTTTGTTTTATCATCCTAAATGTCAGTAATGTTGCAGTAGTTTATTGTTGTTAATGTTTAGTATCATATATCAGAGGAGTACAGCTGTAGCTTTAACTTAAATGTTACCAATTTGGCCTCTGTCATTGTAAGTAGAGATCATGATGATTATTCTGGAAAACAGTCGTGGGCAGACCGCAGAACAGAGGGTTCTGTGGTCCGGATGTGACCCGTGGGCCGTCAGTTGATAGTCACTCCCTTAAGAGGTGTTAAACTTCTATCGTAACCACAGTGTTGTTGACACATTTTATTTGTATTATTTGTGGTAGAGTAGTGTTGGTATTAATAATAATAATAATAATAACAATTATAATAATTAATTTACTGCTACTTCCAGGCTACACGTCAGGTGGCTGCCAGAGCTCTGTGGTTTCTTTCAGGAGCAGCATTTGCCTTGTGTTCCAGTAAAGTAGTTAAAGTAGACGGTAACACCACATGTTTGTGTTGTGGTTTAGTTTTCTGTAGGACCTTTGGTACTCTGATATACTGTTCTTTAAAATGCCTAGATTTCAGGTTGACTGTGCAGTTGTCTCAGTAAAAAAAAACCCGGTACGCTAGCTTCTGTTTGGTGTCGGCTATTGTATTGTTGTGGAAAGAGAGGACCACTGCTGTGGGACACACACGAACACGGAGATTAACAGTCGCTGAGCAACACCACAGTGAAAGCAGCAGATTTCTGCTTCAGTTGAGAAACTGTTGAGTCTATAATTAAAAAAAAAAAAACTTTAGTGGCACATTTTTCATGTTTAATGAATGTTACAAATCACTTTCTGATGGTAATAGAGAATAAAATCCAATTTTATTTATTTATTTATTTATAGCCTCATGTGAAATATCTGCTCATTACCTGTGTCACTTCTGGTGCCTTTGTTTGTGTCCCTTCAGTTGGTGTCACTTTTTAACTTGGCAACATTTGTGGTCCAGAGAAATGACTTGCAGACAGAAGAATAAAAACGTCTTGTTGTTCATTTTAATGGATTTTTAAATGGCTTACAGTAACAATTCAAATGGTGAAGCCGACATTATATGTTTGTTTTTTTACAGATAGTTTTTCTTTGCATTTGTTAAACAATAAATGATTTCTTTCTACAACATTTGAAAGCCCCGTCATCCACTGTGGAGCTGACCGCAGGTACTTAGAATACAGACACCCTAGAAATAGAGTTATTGGTTTAATCAGTAACTTTGACGCCGTCACGTCACCTGATATTCCTTTTGACAGTCAGGTGATTCGACCTCTGAACCTGGTCAAAGTGAAAGAACAGGAAATATTGAATTATTGTTCTTTACCTTTTAGTAGATTTTAGTCACTTATTCTGTTTAATGTAGTTTTACACTTGTTTTAACATTTACTGTGTGAATCTTGGCTCATTAATGGTTATAGATTTGATATGTTGTATGTTTTAACTTTAACTTTTTTTCCTTTTTAAACGACAACGTCAGGGGAACCATAGCAGTGAGGTGTTCCAGTGGGTGATGTGATCTTATGTACTGAGGCTGGATCTGCAGGCTTGTAGTTTTTTGCTGACAATATGTTATATACTATTTTGCTTTATTGTGTTTATTTTTGTGTCTAAAATGTTTCAAATTCAAATTTTAAAAAATGTTCTTTTTTTTAAGGTTGTTGACTTACTGATTTTCTTCTGGTCAGCAGCACCTTGCCTGTTGTGAATTATTTTCTTCTAGCATTTACTTTCATTTTAATGATGTTGATAGAAGATATTGCTGTTTAGAACAGTTGAATTTCCCTCAGTTACCACATATTAATACCTCAGTACCAACATTCAGTCAAAAGGGTTGTTTTATTTTTTATTTTTACATGAAGTAGAAATGATCACAGTTCAAGAAAAAAGTTTCACAGAAAATCACATCATGTACGTGTTATACAGTGTTAATTTAATCATCCACAAATAAGGCCTCATTCCCTGTTTAGGCTGGGCAGCTGTTCTGGCTTCTTTACTGGCTTCCTATTGGTGGAGACCAAATAACAATACGCAGCAGGAACTGAGAGTATTTTTTTTTTAACACATCAAAATGAGTAGAAGCTGCAGGTTTATTTTTAAGTTGACACCAGGTTTATTTTAGTGAACAGAATGTCTGTTGTACGTAGTGCTGCTGTAGGTAGTTTAATTGTAATAAATGTTATAGTAATAAAATAGATAAAGTAATAAAAATAATCCATGTAGTCAAATGTTCTATTAAGGGATGTGAAGTGGTTTCAAACATTATTTAACATTAAATATAAAATGTAGTCGTCCTAATCTGAAATCAGTGCAGTGGGAGTCACGTAATACAGCTGTGATATTTTCTATGGTATGGACTGTTGTCTTGGCTGCATTTGGTTTAATTCCTTTTAAATTTTACTATTTTGAACCAGTTAGTATAGGATTATCCTGCATGTGATTTTATTTGACAATACATCCAGACATTAGTTAAGGCGACCAGAGTTGGTGATTACTGTAAAATTAAATTTCAAAATGTCTATATCTGGATGGCAATCACTATCTCTAGATGCAGTAAAAATGTTTTTTTTTTACTCAGAAAATAGTTGGCCATCAACTGAATAAAAAAAAAACCAATATTGTTGAAAAAATAACATTAGTTCTAATGACTGCTGTAATTTATTGAAACGCATAACTACCATGATTCCTTTAGGTGGTTAACCT